GTGGGAAGAAAATGTGTTTTGCCTTTGAGAAAGTCCCATGTTGCCGATGAAAGGTTGCGACTTACGGCCAGTGACTCTAACACAGTTTCTGCTATTGACAAAAAGTGACTGAATGGCTTGCAGTGGAGTGGTTGCAGGTTATTTTCTTGCTTCAATGTTTGTGAACATTTTTACATTGTTGTTTCTTAATGCCCTTGATGATGGGTCTAACTCGATCCAATCGTTAGTAATTGATTTACCAAAGTGTATATGCGGAGTAAACACCTTCAACCTTTTGGTGATGAAGAACTTTTAATCAGCAACAAGAATTAAACTATTCTCCTTAACACCAAGGAAGGGAAGCTGTGCGAAACTGAAATTCAGTGAACATTAAAACAAAATCTAGGTAAAAGCTTTCAGAGTTAGAAGAACACATATGAAGACTGTTTTCAGATCCGACTTGACGGATGACAAGTTCATGACACATCGTTCAACCTACACACCTACAACCGAAAAAAAGGTTCAAACAAAAATTTCTCACCTGCATCTGACGAAGAATACCGGTGAGTTCCTCGATAAGTTTCGGAAGCTCCGCGTTTTCTTGAAAAACCAGACATGACAGGAGAGCCGTGCATTGAGACACAGTAAGGTCGTTGAAAGTGCCGTTGAACAACATTTCCGTCAACACCAATTCGTCGGCGCTGCAAAGGCAAAACTTTTTTGATTGAACAACAACAAAACAGACCATTCTGATGAAACGTCGAGTCGAATTTAAACATGAAAATCAAAACTTCAACCAGCAATACTGAAAACAAAACATGATGTCCAAAATTCATTTAGGAGCAAAAATCAGAGCAAACTAAAAGACCCACATTGCTCTTACATTAGCTCTAACACTGAAACAGTGGACGTGGCTGTTATTCAAAAGAATGACCACTTTCATCTTGGTTTACCAACATCAGACCACATGAGTTTAAAAAACTGTCGATGCTACTGCCGGTAAAATTCTATAATGGAAATCGAATGTTTCGGATAAACTCAGAAAAAAGAAAGCCTTCGCTTGCCTACGAACAATTTCTCACCTTAAGCTATTCCTGTATAACTGTATTATTGGTTAAAATAAACGACGTATTTTTGAAAGCACTTTCATGGAGCAATGAAGCAGTCGTTCTTAATTTAATATTTAAACAAATAAAACCAGCTGACAAATGTGCAACCGCAGATCGATCCATAAAAAGTAGCGAAAATTGACTAGTTCTAATGGCCATTAGGTACAACACGATGTGAGGACTTTGGAAACAGGGTTCGGCTGGTGATCTCTACGAAGGATATCAAATCGGTAGAAAAAATATTCATTAACTGAGATAAAATAAGGAAAGCATGTGGCAATTTCAAGATGATAAATCTTGGATACGAACTTAAAAACCAAACAGTTTCGGTGTTTCATACTCCCAATGGATAAACGAATAATACTAACAAGTTCGACAGCTCTGAGTTGACCGAAACCGGTGTTGAATCATGTGTTTACAAACAAGCGTAAATAGCGGAATAACCTTTCCGATAAAAACACATAACTTACGCGCTGATTTCGCAGGCGACACGCCCTTTGAATGTGATTACATCCTGCGGATCAGCGTAACCAAGACGACGCAGTACACGTTTACGGCGTTTCAGTTCATCCAGCTGAAGAAGACTCTTTGCCTTCTTTAGTTCTTGTTTAGATGCTTTCAGGTTCTGCTCAATCTAGAACAGAAAAAAAACCGATTCATTAACGATCCATTATTAGCTGCGTAGATAAAGCAGATAGCTTCTGGAAATGGCTGTATTTCCGATTCCCTGGTAGCAGCCTGGAGCATAAGAAAAAAGTCTTAGCTTAATACACATACGACGTTGTGACCGAACGTGGCACATGGCTCATTAGAAGAAAAGTTGAATTTCTAATGAAGACACGAACGCCATTCGATTGAAACGCCGGCGGATCAGCGTTGAAGAATGGTTTCTTGTCGGTCGTGCGCTAACCATGGAATCCAAAGACGAATCAGTTTCCAGTCATTTACGGCGCAGCATCGATATGAGTTCGAAGAGATACTTACAGATAGTTTTTTCTCATAAAGTTCGCACAACTTTGCGAGGTCAGGGCTTTTGCGAATAGAGTGATTATATAAGCGGTCCTGGTATAGATCGATCTTGCCAACGACTTCCTTAAACCTCCGGTCTTTAATCTGCATGTCTTCGATTGGATCTAATAATGGTATGCCACCGTTCTTCTCCGGGAAACGACCATGAACCTCCTAAACGTACTATGTTTTAAAACTATGACACT